TTCAGGTCTTCTGCAGGTCTGTCTCAGGTCTGCTTTCACGTCTGTCTTCAGGTCTGCCTTCAGGCTGTCTTCAGGTCTACCTTCGGGTCTGTCTCAGGTCTGCTTCACATCTGCTTTCACGTCTGTCTTCAGGTCTATCTCAGGTCTGCTTTCACGTCTGTCTCAGGTCTGCTTTCACGTCTGCCTTCAGGTCTGTCTCAGGTCTGCTTTCACGTCTGCTTTCAGGTCTGTCTTCAGGTCTGTTCTCAGGTCTGCTTTCACGTCTGCCTTCAGGTCTCTCAAGTCTGCTTTCACGTCTCTCAAGTCTGCTTTCACGTCTCTCTTCGGTCTGCCTTCAGGTTTGTCTCAGCTGCTTTCACGTCTCTCTTCAGGTCTGCCTTCAGGTTTGTCTCAGGTCTGCTTTCACGTCTGCTTTCAGGTCTGTCTTCAGGTCTGTCTCAGGTCTGCTTTCACGTCTGCTTTCAGGTCTGTCTTCAGGTCTGTCTCAGGTCTACTTCACGTCTGTCTTCATGTCTTCTTCAAGTCTGTCTCAGGTCTGCTTTCAGGTGTGCCTTCAGGTCTTCCTTCAGGTCTGCCTTAGGTCTGTCTTCAGGTCTGTCTCAGTCTGTCTTCAGGTCTGCCTTCAGGTCTGCTGTCTTCAGTCTGTCTCCGTCTGCTTTCACGTCTGCCTTCAGGTCTGCTTTCACGTCTGTCTTCAGGTCTGCCTTCAGGTCTGTCTCAGGTCTGCTTTCACGTCTGTCTTCAGTCTGTCTTCAGGTCTGCCTTCAGGTCTGCCTTCAGGTCTGCCTTCAGGTCATCTTCAGTCTGTCTTCAGGTCTTCTTTCACGTCTGCTTCAGGTCTGTCTCAGGTCTGCTTTCACGTCTGCCTTCAGGTCTGCCTTCAGGTCTGTCTCAGGTCTGCCTCAGGTCTGTCTAGGTCTGCCTTCAGGTCTGCCTTCAGGTCTGTCTTCAGGTCTGTCTCAGGTCTGCTTTCACGTCTGCCTTCAGGTCTGTCTCAGGTCTGCTTTCACGTCTGCCTTCAGTCTGTCTCAGTTCTGCTTTCACGTCTGTCTTCAGGTCTGCCTTCAGGTCTACCTTCGGGTCTGTCTCAGGTCTGCTTTCACATCTGCTTTCACGTCTGTCTTCAGGTCTATCTCAGGTCTATCTCAGGTCTGCTTTCACGTCTGTCTTCATGTCTTCCTTCAGGTCAGTCTTCAGGTCTGCCTTCAGGTCTGTCTCAGGTCTGCTTTCACGTCTGGCTTCAGGTCTGCCTCAGGTCTGATTTCACGTCTGCCTTCAGGTCTGCCTTCAGGTCAGTCTTCAGGTCTGTCTCAGGTCTGCCTTCAGGTCTGTCTTCAGGTCTGTCTCAGGTCTGCTTTCACGTCTGTCTTCAGGTCTGCCTTCAGGTCTGTCTTCAGGTCTACCTTCGGGTCTGTCTCAGGTCTGCTTTCACATCTGCTTTCACGTCTGTCTTCAGGTCTATCTCAGGTCTATCTCAGGTCTGCTTCACGTCTGTCTTCATGTCTTCCTTCAGGTCTGTCTTCAGGTCTGTCTCAGGTCTGCTTTCACGTCTGCCTTCAGGTCTGCCTTCAGGTCTGTCTTCAGGTCTGTCTCAGGTCTGCTTTCACGTCTGTCTTCAGGTCTGCCTTCAGGTCTGTCTCAGGTCTGCTTTCACGTCTGTCTTCAGGTCTGCCTTCAGGTCAGTCTTCAGGTCTGTCCCAGGTCTTCTTTCACGTCTGCCTTCAGGTCTGTCTCAGGTCTGCTTTAACATCTGCCTTCAGGTCTGTCTCAGGTCTACCTTCAGGTCTGCCTTCAGGTCTGTCTCAGGTCTGCCTTCAGGTCTGTCTCAGGTCTGCCTTCAGGTCTGCCTTCAGGTCTGTCTCAGGTCTGCTTTCACGTCTGCCTTCAGGTCTGTCTCAGTTCTGCTTTCACGTCTGTCTTCAGGTCTGCCTTCAGGTCTACCTTCGGTCTGTCTCAGGTCTGCTTTCACATCTGATTTCACGTCTGTCTTCAGGTCTATCTCAGGTCTATCTCAGGTCTGCTTTCACGTCTGTCTTCATGTCTTCCTTCAGGTCAGTCTTCAGGTCTGCCTTCAGGTCTGTCTCAGGTCTGCTTTCACGTCTGGCTTCAGGTCTGCCTCGGTCTGATTTCACGTCTGCCTCAGGTCTGCCGTCAGGTCTGCCTTCAGGTCTGCCTTCAGGTCAGTCTTCAGGTCTGTCTCAGGTCTGCTTTCACGTCTTCCTTCAGGTTTGTCTCAGGTCTGCTTTCACGTCTGTCTTCAGGTCTGCCTTCAGGTCTGTCTTCAGGTCTACCTTCGGTCTGTCTCAGGTCTGCTTTCACATCTGCTTTCACGTCTGTCTTCAGGTCTATCTCAGGTCTATCTCAGGTCTGCTTTCACGTCTGTCTTCATGTCTTCCTTCAGGTCTGTCTTCAGGTCTGTCTCAGGTCTGCTTTCACGTCTGCCTTCAGGTCTGCCTTCAGGTCTGTCTTCAGGTCTGTCTCAGGTCTGCTTTCACGTCTGTCTTCAGGTCTGCCTTCAGGTCTGTCTCAGGTCTGCTTCACGTCTGTCTTCAGGTCTGCCTTCAGGCTGTCTTCAGGTCTACCTTCGGGTCTGTCTCAGGTCTGCTTTCACATCTGCTTTCACGTCTGTCTTCAGGTCTATCTCAGGTCTGCTTTCACGTCTGTCTCAGGTCTGCTTTCACGTCTGCCTTCAGGTCTCTCAAGTCTGCTTTCACGTCTGTCTCAGGTCTGCTTTCACGTCTGCCTTCAGGTCTGTCTGAGGTCTGCTTTAACATCTGTCTTCAGGTCTGTCTCAGGTCTGCTTTCACGTCTGTCTTCAGGTCTGCCTTCAGGGCTGTCTTCAGGTCTACCTTCGGGTCTGTCTCAGGTCTGCTTTCACATCTGCTTTCACGTCTGTCTTCAGGTCTATCTCAGGTCTGCTTTCACGTCTGTCTCAGGTCTGCTTTCACGTCTGCCTTCAGGTCTGTCTCAGGTCTGCTTTCACGTCTGCTTTCAGGTCTGTCTTCAGGTCTGTCTCAGGTCTGCTTTCACGTCTGCCTTCAGGTCTCTCAAGTCTGCTTTCACGTCTCTCAAGTCTGCTTTCACGTCTCTCTTCAGGTCTGCCTTCAGGTTTGTCTCAGGTCTGCTTTCACGTCTCTCTTCAGGTCTGCCTTCAGGTTTGTCTCAGGTCTGCTTTCACGTCTGCTTTCAGGTCTGTCTTCAGGTCTGTCTCAGGTCTGCTTTCACGTCTGCTTTCAGGTCTGTCTTCAGGTCTGTCTCAGGTCTACTTTCACGTCTGTCTTCATGTCTTCCTTCAAGTCTGTCTCAGGTCTGCTTTCAGGTGTGCCTTCAGGTCTTCCTTCAGGTCTGCCTTCAGGTCTGTCTTCAGGTCTGTCTCAGGTCTGTCTTCAGGTCTGCCTTCAGGTCTGTCTTCAGGTCTGTCTCAGGTCTGCTTTCACGTCTGCCTTCAGGTCTGCTTTCACGTCTGTCTTCAGGTCTGCCTTCAGGTCTGTCTCAGGTCTGCTTTCACGTCTGTCTTCAGGTCTGTCTTCAGGTCTGCCTTCAGGTCTGCTTCAGGTCAGTCTTCAGGTCTGTCTTCAGGTCTTCTTTCACGTCTGCCTTCAGGTCTGTCTCAGGTCTGCTTTCACGTCTGCCTTCAGGTCTGCCTTCAGGTCTGTCTCAGGTCTGCCTTCAGGTCTGTCTCAGGTCTGCCTTCAGGTCTGCCTTCAGGTCTGTCTTCAGGTCTGTCTCAGGTCTGCTTTCACGTCTGCCTTCAGGTCTGTCTCAGTTCTGCTTTCACGTCTGTCTTCAGGTCTGCCTTCAGGTCTACCTTCGGGTCTGTCTCAGGTCTGCTTTCACATCTGCTTTCACGTCTGTCTTCAGGTCTATCTCAGGTCTATCTCAGGTCTGCTTTCACGTCTGTCTTCATGTCTTCCTTCAGGTCAGTCTCAGGTCTGCCTTCAGGTCTGTCTCAGGTCTGCTTTCACGTCTGGCTTCAGGTCTGCCTCAGGTCTGCTTTCACGTCTGCCTTCAGGTCTGTCTCAGTTCTGCTTTCACGTCTGTCTTCAGGTCTGCCTTCAGGTCTACCTTCGGGTCTGTCTCAGGTCTGCTTTCACATCTGCTTTCACGTCTGTCTTCAGGTCTATCTCAGGTCTATCCAGGTCTGCTTTCACGTCTGTCTTCATGTCTCCTTCAGGTCAGTCTTCAGGTCTGCCTTCAGGTCTGTCTCAGGTCTGCTTTCACGTCTGGCTTCAGGTCTGCCTCAGGTTTGATTTCACGTCTGCCTTCAGGTCTGCCTTCAGGTCTGCCTTCAGGTCTGCCTTCAGGTCAGTCTTCAGGTCTGTCTCAGGTCTGCTTTCACGTCTCCTTCAGGTTTGTCTCAGGTCTGCTTTCACGTCTGTCTTCAGGTCTGCCTTCAGGTCTGTCTTCAGGTCTACCTTCGGGTCTGTCTCAGGTCTGCTTTCACATCTGCTTTCACGTCTGTCTTCAGGTCTATCTCAGGTCTATCTCAGGTCTGCTTTC